TGCCAGGAGCAGTCTCCACCGCTGGATTTCCAGACATTCAGAAAATTCTTGTAAACACCAGGGACAGCCCTCTGATTCCAGAAGGTTTAGTTGAAAGCTGTTACTTTCAGGATTCTGGTTGCAGACAGAGCCAGTGGTTTGTGACTGTGTATGAGCAGGCATAGCTCTGTTAGTCCAAAAAAAGGCTTTTAGTAAGTTAAGTGTCCTTACTACCCACTTAGACATTTTTTACACTGTTGTTTTTGTTACACTTCTGTAATTGTTGAATTCATCAAACTTTGTAATTAAAAAAAAAATTGTTATTGTACCATCTGCCCAGTTTATTATTTAGTATTTTTCTTCTTTTCAAGATCTGGTCTTAATTTTTTTTTTTTTTTTTTTTTGATGGGGGGGATGGAGACATGGAATTCAGTTTGGCTCCAAGTAACAGAGACCCAAAACATACAATAGCTATACAAAATAGAAGTTATTCTTTCACACACAAGTATAGAGGTAAGCTTTCCGGAAGTAGTGTAGCAGCTTTGATCCACAAAGATCTTAGAGACCTGGGTTCCATCTAGCACATTGTTCCTCTCTCCCTGTGTATGAACTCATGGTCCAAAAGAGCAGCTAGAGCTCCAGTCATCACATCTGCATTCCAGGTAGCAGGATGGAGGAAGGATCAAAGAAGAAAGGAGGTCATAGAGGTATTCCTGTGCCTTTTAAGGGAGGTTTCTGGTGGTTGCTCCATGACATTTCTGCTTATGGCCATACTAACAGTAAAGAAGGCTGGGTAAATATAGCCTGTATATTCGCCCAGCTAAATGTAGGAGTTCTGTTAGTGTGGAGAATGGGATAACACATATGGCGGAACATTTAACTGTGTCTGCCATGGCCGCCTCATTCATCCACCTCCAAATGAACTTTCTTGGAGTATCCTTCAGTCTATCTGTCTTGCTTTCCAAATAGTGACTTCTTGTAATCATATTTTTAAAAGACAAATACCTATGTGTTATAAAAATTTATAAAATACAAGTATGAACATTAAACACACCCATGATTCCACAACCTAAAGATAACAACTGAAACAACATCATGCAAGAATTGTCCTTAACACTAATATAGAACAAGCAACTCTGTCTGCAAAGCATTTAGATATTTTTTTAAAGCTCACTATGTTATACTGTATATTCCGTTATTCCTTCAGGAAATATTTTTAAACATATACTTTGTTCCCAGCATCTTCTTAATTGATGTGTATGGTTGGAAAGGGGAAACAATGAAGGGCATTTTAAATGTTAAATTTGTTTCTCTTAAGATAGTTAGTCTTGCATAGGGAGATAAGACTATGTACATGACAAGTTGGGAGGTCAGTCAGGGCCCTGTTAGTGCCATATTTGTGTTGATGTATGTAAAGGTACACGATAAACAGATATAAAAGTAATGACACTGGATATCTTTAATCATAGACTAGTCCATACTGTGGACAGTTGTTTGTAAAAACGACACCTTGAGAACACAGCTTGCTTTTTTTGTTGCTGGAGCATGAAATTTGAAGTACAAAGCCTTAGAATAGTCCGATTCAAGCAGTATGAGCCAATCATCAAGCATAACATGGTAAAATTCTGACCTCTACCAACTCCCAGATTTAGGAGTCTAGTCCGTGTGAGGGGAATTCGCCATGACCATGCCTTTTGTAAGCTGCAGAAATAACTTATATGTGACTGTTAAAGTTTACTGGAAAATGTGGTGTTTTTTATTGTGTTCTAAATCTTGATGTTAAAGCAGTGCATTAAATTTCCCTCCAAAAATTTTTTTTGGAGGAAAACAGTTAAAAATTAACCTTTCATATTGAAAATGCTTAACTAGGAAAAGTAAAAACGTTTAGAAACAGAAAAAGCTAGGAGTTACAACGAAATGTTAACAGTTGCCACTAGGGGGTGAGATGAGTGACTTCCCCTTGCTTAATCGTGCGTGGCCTTTTTTTTTTTCTTTTTCTTTTTTTCCTTACAAATATGTACTACTTTTGTAACTGGAAAGAGATGTTTAAAAAAATTTTTTTGAAGAAGCTTTTGCCAACAAAAGCTGAGTTGAGATTCATGTTAAAGGATAACATGATAAAGGATGCTTATCACTGGTTACGAGCCAAGTGCTGAGAAGGGTCCCTCAGTGCTCTGGAACCTCTGGGTGCTGCTGAGGACTTGGAGAACCTGCAGAGAACAGTGGGACCGATTGTGCCTCCCTTGCTCAGGTGACTGAGGGCTAAGGCTGCTTAGTTTCCACACAAGAACACAAACTCTTTCATGAAGAAGTGACTGGGCTGGCAGACAGAGGGCCTCTCTGTGGACATGGTTAAATTGCTGGCTTAATTTTTACTTGCGGCAGCGCTGGAACGAAGCGCACACATTTTCAAAAGATCCCAGTTTCCTGTTTTCTTTAAGAAAGCAGGGAATGCCGAACAGCTGAGTGTGCTGGGGGTGGTGTCACCGAAGGCGGAGGGAGACTTCATTGGTGAGCGCTCGGCCTATGGTATGTGCGTGTGGCCCGGCTAAGTTTATACGAATGTTGAATCTCCTTCCCTTATGGGGTGAAGAGCCCGAGCGTCCGAGCAGCAGAGCCGGGCGTGCGGTGCCGCGGGGCCGACCAGCGGGGGAGCGCAGCAGACGCCTGGTAGGTGGGCGGAGAGCGAGCCGGGGGGGCGGTCGAGTGGGCGGGCCGCGAAATCCGGCCGGCACGCGGGGCCCCATCCCGGGGGCTGAAGTCCCCGTGGCCTGCGGGAGCGCCGAGAGCCACGGCCCCGCAGGGTCCGGAGCTGCCTTATTTAGAATCCCGGCTGGTGGTGTCTGTGAGATTTGTCTGCCGCTGTCTGACACCCGAGCCTGCAGTTTCTCTTTGCTTGTGGAATTTCAGACAGCGCTAGAAACAGGTCCGGCCGCATATTTGGAGTGACTGTGTTGTCCATGTGGTGTTTAAAAAAAGGGAGAGACGGGAAGACGCGGTCTGCTAGCATTAGCACAGATTTCCAGGCACAGGCGCTCTTCATCAGCTCGCCCTTCCTTTGGTTAGAAAACGATGGGTGCTGTGTGCACCTCTTTGAAAGAGAAGCCTTTCCCGCATGTTGTAGAATTGAAAAGTGCTTGAATTCCGGAAGCTGCAACAACCTAATAATGTTTTCAATCAGGACACGAAAGATACACACCTTTTTACTTCCCTCCTTGGCGATCTTCTTTTTGTACTTTTTTCCTAACATATCAGAGGAAAGAGGGCTAATGGAGGCAAAAGGTTTACAAAGAACACTCACCTTATCAGGTATAAATGTGCGGCAGTGTGGGGGGCTGGGAAGAGCAGGCTGGCAACCCAAACTGCTGAAAATATTTGGGCTTTGACAGCAGTCAGGTGGGGTTTTTTACCCATGGCCTGTGTTTTCACTCATTGCTTTTTGGGTCCTTTCCATGGCTCTCAAAATGCAGAGCTTCTCATTGTGATTCTAGAAGAACACATTGCTTTATCCTACAATTTAAACAAACAAAAATGGTCTTGCTTTTCAGTTTGAAATGCATAGCTCAGGCCAGCAGCAGGGTCTGTGCCTTGAAAGGTTCTTGTGTTTCCTTTTCTAAATGTTTGATTTAGACAGAAGTAGCATTTACCAAATACCGCATGATCCAGTGTTTGGATAGAGGTTTGCCCCTATTTCCATTTTCCTTTGCATCTGTTTGCATACAGCACAGCTACAAAACAAGGTATTCTTGGGATAGCAAATGTTTTGTCCAAAAGAGGTCAAAGTGGAGAAAACTTTTCCTTTAGTTGACACAGGGTTTGGTTTTGTTTTTAAACCGGAAGACACAAAATAGAGTTGAAATTTGCCCTCTGCTCTTGCACCCCTGCTGCTGGAGTTAATCACTCAGCGTCCCTGGCCCTGTGTCACAGCGTTCTTAGCAAGGGAAAAGTCAAAGCCAGTTGTGACCTTGTGGAGGCGATCAGGCACTGTGACTCCTTGGGCACCATTTAGAAAGGCTGCATGAGCTGCACTAGGTGGCCGAACTCCCGTCCCAGGCTTCCTGCACTGGCTTGGTCCGTTAGTCTAAGGTTTTTTGTTTTGTTTTGTTTTACTTTTTGTGCCTCAGAGTAAGTTTATAAAGTAAGAGTCTTAATGATTGCTATCAAGGGACTATGGACAACAAAAGAAATTACCTACTTGAAACGCTTTTGAGACCTTGAGGTTGTGGCTCAGCTGTATGGTTGGAGCATCACCTGGTAACAGAAGGGTTGTGGGTTCGATTCCCACCTAGGTTATGGATTCAATTCCTGGTCCAGGTGCATAACAGTTTCCAGTCTGGGTGCGTATGGGTGCAGCAATCAGTGTTTCTCTCCACATCAATGCTTTTCTCTTCCTCTCTCTTCAAAAAGCAATGGGAAAACGTACTCAGGTGAGGAAGGCAGGAAGGAAAGGAGGGAAGGAAATGCTTTTAAATCTTTTAATGCAGTCTTTAAAAAAAAGTATTTAGCCCTGGCCAGGTGGCTCAGTTGGTTTCAGCATTGTCCTGTACACCAAAAGGTGGCGGTTCGATTCCCAGTCAGGACACCCAGCTATATTGTAGGTTCGATCCCTGGTTATGGCACATACAGGAGGCAACCAGTCAATGTTTCTCTCTCGCATCGAAGTCTTCCCTCCCCCTCGAAAATCAATAAACATATCCTCATGTGAGGGTTTAAAAAAATAAATAAGTATAAACAATGTATTAGCAAGGACTTGCTATGTGCTTGGCTCTTTAAAATTATTAACGCATTACATTCTTTTAACAACTTCATTCGTGAAATGCTTGTATTTTCATATTTTACTCAGGGAAACTGCAGTTTCAGGAGGTTTATTAACTCATTCACCCAGCTGTTAAGTTGTAAATCCAGGTTTAGAACATAGGTCTGTCAACTCAGATCATACCAGTTTGCCACATTGCAACTACATCCTTAGCTGTTGCCATTATTACATGGCATTAAAATATAATCTGCTCTCTCTCCCTCAGGAAAAGCAAATGATGTTCTAAACGGAGACCATGACAAGGAACAGAGAGATCCTTATTTTGTGGAGACTCCCTATGGTTATCAACTAGACTTAGATTTCCTCAAATACGTGGATGACATACAGAAAGGAAACACCATCAAGAAACTGAACATCCAGAAGAGGCGGAAGCCATCCGTGCCATGCCCAGAAAGCACTGCCACACCAGGCCAGCAAGGTATATGGACTTCCACTGAATCTTTGTCATCTTCCAATAGTGATGACAACAAGCAGTGCCCCAGCTTCCTCGTAGCCAGAAGCCAAGTTACATCAACTCCAATCCCAAGGCTACCTGCCCCTCTGGAGCTCTCACCCACTTTTCTTACCAACCCAGAAAGTCGACAGCTGCCACCACCCTCACCACAACTCCCAAAGCACAACCTTCATGTCACCAAGACACTGATGGAGACCCGGAGAAGGCTGGAACAGGAGAGAATCACCATGCAGGCGACATCAGGTGACTTCCGAAGGCCCAGGCTGGCCAGTTTTGGAGGCCTGGGCTCCACAGGCTCTCTCTCCTCCTTTATGGGTTCTGGAAACCACAATCCTGCCATCTACCAGCTTCAGAATGGATACCAGGGCAATGGGGATTACAGTAGCTATGCCCCAGCTGCTGCCACTTCTTCCATGGGGAGCTCTATCCGCCACAGTCCCTTGAGCTCAGGGATCTCCACTCCTGTGACCAACGTGAGCCCCATGCACCTGCAGCACATCCGGGAGCAGATGGCCATCGCCCTGAAACGCCTGAAGGAGCTGGAGGAACAGGTACGAACAATCCCTGTGCTCCAGGTAAAGATTGCGGTCTTGCAAGAAGAGAAAAGACAGCTGGCCTCACAGCTGAAAAACCAAAGAACGGCATTGCAGAATGATGCCTGTGGTGTGAGGAAGCGGTCCTACAGTGCTGGGAACACGTCCCAGCTAGAAGACCTCTCCAGGGCCCGGAGAGGTGGCGGGGAATTATACATTGGCGAAGGAGAAGACATAGAGAGCGTAGAGCAGAGCACACAGAGGATAAAAGAGTTCCGGCAGCTCACAGCAGACATGCAGGCCCTGGAGCAGAAGATCCAGGACAGCAGCTCGGAGGCCTCCTTGGAGCTCAGGGAGAATGGGGAGTGTCGGCCTCGAGAGTGCCGGTCTGTGGCTGTGGGTGCCAACGAGAACATGAATGACATTGTCATGTACCACAGAGGCTCCAGGTCCTTCAAGGATGCTGCTGTAGGGACAGTCACTGAGACGAGGAATTCTGGGGTCAGTGTGACAGAGGCCATGCTTGGGGTGACCACTGAAGCTGACAAAGAAATTGAGCTGCAACAGCAGACCATAGAAGCCTTAAAGGAAAAGATCTATCGCCTGGAAGTACAACTTAAAGAAACTACCCATGACCGAGAGATGACTAAACTCAAGCAAGAGCTGCAGGCTGCTGGATCGAGGAAAAAAGCTGACAAAGCCATGATGGCCCAGCCGCTTGTTTTCAGCAAGATGGTGGAGGCAGTGGTGCAGATGAGAGACCAGATGGTGGGCAGTCACGTGGATGTAGGTGACTCATGTGTTGGGACCTCTGTGCAAACAAGCAGCCTAGGCATCTCCTGCCAGCCCAGTTCAGAGAATAAACTCGTGGGGCCAGAGCTGCCCATGAATTGGTGGATTGTTAAAGAAAGGGTGGACATGCGTGACCAATGTACGGGAAGGTCTGTGGAGATGTGCGATGAGAGCGTGGGTGTGGAAATCAGTGTCTGTGAAACAGGCAGCAACACGGAAGAGTCTGTGAATGACTTGACACTCCTCAAGACCAACCTGAATCTCAAAGAAGTGCGCTCCATTGGGTGTGGAGATTGTTCTGTCGATGTGATTGTCTGCTCTGCAAAGGAGTGCATCTCCCGGAGTGTGAGCACCGACGCTGTTGGCCAGGCGGAAGCCGCTGTCATGGCAGTGCCTCAGACCACAAGCCAGCACACCAGCACAGCTTTGGAACAAGTGAACCAGTTCACCAACACCGAGACGGCCACCCTTACGGAATCCTGCACCAACACTTCCCTCAGCACTTTGGACAAGCAGACCAGCACCAGGACTGTGGAAACGCGGACGGTGGCTATAGGAGAAGGCCTTGTCAAGGACATTAATTCTTCCACCAAGACACGGTCCGTCGGAGTTGGAACAGTGCTTTCTGGCACTTCTGGGTTTGACAAGCCATCAGCTGTAAAGACCAAAGAGTCAGGTGTGGGGCAGATAAATATTAATGACAACTATCTGGTTGGCCTCAAAATGAGAACCATCGCTTGTGGGCCTCCCCAGTTGGCTGTGGGGCTGACGGCAAGCAGGAGGAGCGTAGGTGTTGGGGATGAGCCTGTGGGAGAGTTCACGGAGGGCCCCCAGCCGCAGGCTCCGTCTGGAACGATGACGGGCCTGGATCACTACATTGAGCGCGTCCAGAAGCTGCTGGCGGAACAGCAGACGCTGCTGGCTGAGAACTATAGTGAACTGGCAGAAGCTTTTGGGGAACCTCACTCACAGATTGGCTCTCTCAACTCCCAGCTCATCAGCACCCTCTCTTCACTCAGTTCTGTCATGAAGTCTGCAAGCACCGAAGAGCTGAGGAACCCCGACTTCCCCAAAATGAGTCCAGGCAAAGTTGCAGGTAGGTGGCACTCTGAGGGACCTGGAGATGAGGAAGGGTAAGGACAGTGTATTTCTAGGAGATGCAGGTTTTTTAAATGCTGGAACCATTTTTTGGAACCATGGAGAAAGCTTTAGAATGGTAATTGGTAGAATGAAAACCAAGATTGAAAACTGTGATCAAATTTGCTGTTTCTCATTGTCCAGTAGCTTCTTTGGCCTCTGGCTGAGGACTAAGGCTAGAAGAAGAAAAGCAAACTAATTCTGGGGAGCGTGGGGGCTGTCTCCGGGACTGCTGGTTTGATGCGATGTCTTCCAGTTATTTATTAGTCAGGTTTGAAAAAAGTCCTTCGCATTTGTAATCACAATTACCCGTACATTATCGATAAAAAATACTGGTGTAAAATATTTTCAATCAAAACTTTGATGAGGGGCGGGAGACTCCTTTAGTTCATTTATGAATTTGGCACATAATGATTGAATTCCTGCCATTTCAAGCATAGGTATAGGTCCCTGTGTGTACACTCCAGTTGGGGGCACAGGCAGTAAACAACAGACCTAAACTGTGTCAGGTGGTGATAGGCACTATGAAGAACAGAACTCCAGTTATGGTAATAGTGAGCGGTGATAGTCAGAGCGGAGGCTGTTTGAGATACACCGGTCTGGAAGGCCTCCCTGATAAGGGGCCCTGAGCCAGAACTCTGAGGGGAGGGAGCCCTTTCCCCCTGTTCATTTTGATAGGTGCTTACCTTTTTGTCTTCCTCACCCTTGCCCTTATTCATTGGGATTCCTGCTCACCCCCCGACTTTTTTTAACTGAAGTTAATAGAGAAATTACCCGGGGAGAATGTATGACAAAAAAAATATTTCCCTGCAAGCGTCACTAACATGACTTCCTCTAGTATCGGCTGCGTGCTCTCTAGGAGGGCATAGTGTCATCCTAGGACTGGGTTTCCTTCTGGGCTCTCCAGGTCTCACGAACCAGCGTGACCTGGGAAGCAAAGTCCCACTTTTCTGCATGTCATTGTAAAACACACACTAGAAGGGCACCTGTCCTATAAGGCTGGCAGTGCGTTGGTCGCTGGCATGTGGGGAGCACAGGGTAGCCTTTTTTGTCATCGGTGGTCATACTAGTAAGCATGTTGCCTGTGTTTTCCTTTGTTAAGATGCTAACCTATAGGGAGGCTACTACAGACATACTCTCCACTGTGACCCAAGGCTACATGCACAACAAATGTTAATGCTTCCAGTGATTTGTATAATATGCATTAAACTTCATTGTAATGTGAAAATTTGCAGTATTACAAACTTAAATGGAAATAAGCCATTAACAAAAATTTTAGTCTTTCTGTTTCCCTTTATAGGGTAAAGGGTAGTGGTTGGAATGGATCAAAATATATCTTTTGTATCTTCCTAGGTTGCCACTTTCAGTACTGAATTAGTACGAGCTTTTAGTAACTGTGCTGTGGAACAACAGATAGTTTATTGTAGGGAAAAAAATGGACGTGACCATGACAGCTGACATGTGGCCTTTTTTGCCTTTTAGAATCAAAGGAGTCTAATAAATGTTCAGGGGAGTCATTTTAGTGTAAGTAGGATTAAATTGATTTGTAGACTGAAGCAGAGTCTTAAATAACTAATAATATGTCTGTTTTTGCTTCTTTTTAAAAATCATGATGTCAGATGTTGAAGTCAAAATAAAACCCTTAAATACCTCCAGACACAGATGGTCCAGTAGATCATCCTTTATAAAAGCATTTTCCTACCAGCCTTCCTCTCTCCTCCCCAAACTGGGGTTTCTATTTCACATTCTTGCCAAAAATATGCAGCTGAACCATTGGAGCAATCTCGGTGACACCCTGAACAGCAAGAGCAGGGAGAAAGTTTTGTCTGGCAGTGTTGAAGTGGTTTTTGGTCTGTTTCCAGTCACCCTGACATTCCACACATCTCTGTTTAGATCTGACCTGGCACATGAACACCTAATTAATCAGCTAAAATGCACAAAAAGCTACAGCATTCATGAAAAAAAAGTATAAATATCTTTAATAGCATTTGCTTGGTCATAGTGGCAGCCCCCTCTCAAGAGTGCACAAGAACACCTTTAAAGTATCTCTGTAATTCCCATCACATTTATATTTTAAACATTTTGCTTTTAAAGTTCCAGTGAAGAAGGAATTCAGTTAGGGTATTAAATTTTTGTTGTCGAGTGTTTGTTATAGGAACTGAAGATGAAAGCAGCTTGATCTATGATCGAGAGAGATTCTCAGTACCTGCAAGCTGTGAAGATTAAAGGTGTGTCAAAATGCACTGCAGTTTACTGTGAACACCATATAATAGAGAGTGTTGCTCACACTCAGTATTTCATGCATTTCTGTACCAAAAGGCATCCTAGAGTATAGAAAGGTACTCATTTCAACTTTCTCCTCCAAATAAAACGATGGGGAATTTGAGTTTGATGTCTACCAAGAAGATCATAGAAATGATCACATGTCAACCTGGTACTTTCGTTGAAAGAAGTTCAGTATGGACCCTGAAGCCAGACATTCTGGGTTCAAATTCTTTCTCTGCCATTAGGACAGGTTGTCTTTGTTCCCTCACAGGGCTGAAATGAAGATTTAGTGACTTAATAAGAGTAAAGCATCTGGAACTGTATGCAGCACAGAGTAGAAATGCTCAATAAATGCTGGCTGTCATTGCTGTTACTATTTTTAGTACCTCCAGAAATGGAAATGTGGATATAGAACTAGTTGTCAAACAGAAAGTGTACAAATGATCTTTTGTTCTCCATCCAAAATTTTCTCTTCATAATTCTGGCTGGCCGTCATCACCTCCTTCCCCCAATTATTATGCACCCCAACAAATAATTTTATCAAGATAAAAAAATATAGATAGATAGATAGATAAAAATGGGAAAACACAAAGTGAGTAAAATAGATTTTCACCTTAGGCTCATTCAGGATCTGCGTGAAAGCTCAAAATGAAGCCAAAATTAAGTATATTAGCGTCCACTTCAGAAAATTCTCTTAACTTTGCCAGTGGTTGAAGTTTTGAAGATACCGCTTTTTGGTATGCATCATTATGCCTAAACTACTATTCACTTTCTTGAAATTACAATAAGTATGTGCTTATAGCAAACTAGCGTCCAGAAGAACATGAAACAGTGACAGCCTCTTCATTGCGCCCTCGTTGGGTAACCTCATGTGTGCTCGGTGTGTACAAGCGTGTGTGTGAGCGGGTCTGTATTTTAGAGACATAACATTTTTAAACAAAAGTTGAACCATACTTGTTCTATGTATTTTTCACATACAAGGTTACAAACAGTTTTCCAGGAGTTGGAGACAATGTCATGGTTTAATGTAGCTGGAATTTGGTGGTGTCCAAAGATGCACTCTACTTTTTTAAAAACATTCCTGGTAGTTGAAGTTACATATATATATGTAATTTTGGAATTAAGTTAAGAGGAAATAGGTTTCTGTTCTCACAAACAACCTTAAGAAAAAATGTTTCTGCTTCCTGCAAATAATTGGATTGTTTTGGTTTGAAAAGTGGGTTATTTTTTTCCCCCTTTCCCTCTGGAAGAGGAAAGAAGAGAGAAAATTCTAGACAAATGACTTGCCATTACAAATGCTCTTAATATATATAACTGTCTCTGAGGAAATACAAACAAAACTATATAACGGTGGAACTTAACTGCTGCCACATGATTTATAGAATATTCATCTGTCATACTCAAACAAAGGAACTACATTTTAAATCAGCTTCCATATTTGCACTGTTAGTTATCTTGGGATTGGTAAAAAGTTTCTGACTTGAGGTCATTCCTATAATTGTGAAAGCAATTTTGTAGACAGAGATGTGAGCCAAAGCAAAAGCGGGGAAACGCATCATTGCAAAAGACCATTTCCAGTTAGTTTTCTCCTAGTTCAAGTAATTACCATTTGCTTGTCCTGGTAGCTATTTTTTAGTGTAATTTTCTTTTAATAAATGCCTCGAGCATCCAGATAAGCCAGACAAAACATTTCTGGAACCTTGTAGTGCCTACGGGCCTGGTGCTTTGGGGGGCGGCGGGGGGCAGGCCTGCTGCTGGAGGTTGGGAGCGCTGCGCTGCCTTCAGTTCTGGCTGCACTGGAACTTGGCGTATCACTTTAGAGAGGGAGAATTTCAGCTGCCATGCCCTCCTGTGTCAGGAGAAGGGTGGCTTAGATTTTTCTTGCTTGAGGTTCTTTCAGCAGAATTGTTTTGTAAAAGTAGCTTTTCACCACGCCGCCCATCAGAATCCGGTGGGGAACTTTTCCCAAATGGATAAATTTTCTGCTGCCATCCACTGCCACCATCCTCAGCCACCCAATGGTCACATCCCAAGCCCTGTTTCAGGGAAATATTGTTGAAGTAGCCAGCCTTAGAGTGAGGCTTCTTAACCTGGGGCCCATAGCTTTGTGACTGCTTTTGTGTTTGGAATTACTATGAAGAAAGTGCATAATTTTCATCAGAGTCCCAAAAGGGATAGCTGACCACTCAGAAGGCTCGAAATTACAGATCTGTTTCAGCCCTTGGGAAAAAGAACTTCGGCCCTGAGGAAAATCTTTTACCAAGTTTAAAATCTGTTCACCGCCTTTGTGAGCCCTTTAGTTGACACTTAGGTAATAATCTTCCTCTTTTTAAACTGAGGCCTTATCATTTTCAGTGGGTATTAGTGAAATGCCCATGCAGCCTGGGGGAAAGATGCAGGTTTACTTTGACACTTATGCTCTAAAATATGCAGTTCCCTTCTGGCTAAAGTGTAGAAATTGGTAGTTTTTGAGAACTGAAGTGGCTTTGAGTTCCTGTACGCCTAAGCCCATTCATAAATGGCAAAGGGAGTTGTTGAGTGTGGGTGACGGCTGCAGCTCTTTATTCTCCGTTTAAGCATAAGTCGTTCATTCGTATCTCAGTAAAGCTGTTCCAAGTCTGCCCTGTACCCTTGGCCATTCAAGTCAGGTGACAGCTATGCAAAGTGTGGTACTGCAGCAAAGATAGAAAGGTG